ATATAACCTATGTGTTTTGGGGGTAAGCTTTTCAAATCTTTTTTTCTAGTTGTTTTAAGTTTTCACAATGATGTGCCTTTGTGAGATCTTTTTTTTTTAATTCAATGTTGGGCACATGTGTATCCTTTCAATCTGGAAGCGCATGCATTTCAATTCTGAGAAATTTTCTTTTACTATTACTTTGAAAATTCTATCTTTGATTTGTTTGTGTTTTCTCTTCTGGGGCTATAATAGCAAATACTGGGCCTTCTGAATTTTCCCTTTCTTCTGAAGGGTACCAGAATATGCCTCCCAAAATATGCCTCTTTGACATGGGGATTATTTTCAGTTTAAGGCAACTGACATCTAGCAGATGCAGGAAAAGCTCTTTACCTCCCCTTAACTACCTAAAAATAGAATATAAATTTCTCCTTTTGTAAAGGAAATTTCCATTTGTAAAAGTGTCTCTACATGAGGAAGAGAACTACTTCAGGAGACACCTCTTATCACCTGAGAGACTCCTATCTACAAAACAAGACAACCCTTATTTACCATATATTTCCACCCTTTGCCTTCTCATAACTGGGCTTCTCAGCCCAGAAGCCCAAATTCTCTTTTCCTTTGTTTAGCCTAAGATGGTATATAGGCCTCAACCATATGGCTGCCTCCTTGAGTCTCATTTCCTTGTGAGGGTCCTGTGTGTGTGTACATAATTAAGCTGTTTTTCCTCTTGTTAATCTGTTTGACAAGTTTAAACTGACAAGTTTAATATCCAGGGCCCGCACCAGTCAATGAACCTAAGATAGGTAGAGGAAAAAGATATTTTTTCTTCCTTGCAATTCTCAGCCGGAGGGGGCTTGTTTCAAAAGCCTCAATTAGTTTTTTGTATTTTTCTTTAACAAAAATGTACATATTTAAATTGTACAATATGATTTGATATACATATGCATTGTGAAATGATTACAAAGATAAAATGAACACATCCATCGCATCACATAATTAACTCTTGTTTTGTGTGGTGAGAACACTTTCAGATTTACTTTCAGCAAATTTCAAGTATATAATACCAAATTATTAACTACAGTCACCACATTGTACACTAGATCCTCAAAACCTACTCATCTTATAACTGAAAGTTTGTACCCTTTGACCTACATATCCCCATTTCCCTCTCCCCTCAGCCCCTGGCAGCCATCGCTCTGCTGTTTCTGAGATTGGCTTCTGAAGCTTAGATCGGACTTGTAGCTCAGCCTGCTTCAGTTATGGCATGTACTGTAACCAGACGATTTCCTTTACAGAGTATTCATTTACTAATTCAGCATACTCTGCTTTTCTATTATGAAATATATATGTAAGCATATTAATATACAAAATAAATATAGTTAAAATTGAACATCTCATAGCTTTGTCAAATCTTATCATTTTGTTATATTTCCTTCAAATCTTTATTTTTTGAAGTAAAACATTATGGATACAGTTAAAGCCTCCTTTGACCTTTTTCTAGGCTCATTTGCTTCCTCCCCAGAGGTAACCACTCTCCTTAACTGGTATTAACCCCCCATGTTTTACTTTGACCGCATCTGTATGTTATAAACAAGCTTGTGGTAGAAGAAAAAAATATTTGGTCTTTGCCCCCAGTTCTTGGCACAGAGCGCCTAAGACCCTTGTAATTTCCTGAGTAATAGGAGTGTTGTTTCAATAGTAGATGAGTTTATGCAAATAAAGTGACTTTTGTTGGGTGGGAAGGCAGTTACACAGCCTCTGGATCTGGGCTAGCAGCCAGAAAGACCAAGCTTTGATTAGAAGGTTGGAACTCTCAGTTCCACCCCTCTTCAACTCCTAGGAGAGGAGAAGTGCTGGAGATTAATGGCCAGTCATTTAACCTCTCATGCCTATGTACCAAAACCCCCTAAATAATGGGGTTCAGGGAGCTTCCAAGTTGGTGAACACACTCCAGGCCTGCAGGGTGGTGCACTCTAACTCCACAGGGACAGAAGCTCCTGTTCCAGATCCTTTCAGACCTCGCTTCTCCTGACTGTCCATTTGCATCCTTTATTATAAACTGTAATAGTAACTACAGCATTTTTCTGAGTTCGGTGAGTTGTTCCAGCAAATTATCAAACCTGGGGGTGGGGAGTGGATACCCCCAATTTGCAACCAAGTCAGACAGAAGTGTGGGTAACCTGGGAACCCAATATTTGAAACGGCATCTTAAGTGAGAGCAATCTTGTGGCACCGAGCACTTATGTCCGTGGAGTCTGATCCTTAACTCCAGGTAGTTAGTGTCAGAACTGAACTGAATATTAGGAACACCCAGCTGGTGTCTGCAGAGAGTTGGAGAACTGGCTGGTGTCAGAAAAAAACCTCCAACAAATATGTATTATTATTTTTCGTGTTTTAAGCTTTACATAAATATCACAAAGTATGTCCTTCTACAACTTGTTTTACACTTTCAGCCTTTTGCTTTGTCTCTTCTGATTTCTCCACATTGACTTATATTGCTCTAGTCCATTTTCTCTAGTATGATTTTCTTTGGAATGAATATCTCATAATCTATTCATCCTTTCTCTTGCTGGTGGACATTTGAATTGTTTCCAATTTCACTACTACCAAGAAGTCTGCCATACCATTTTAAAGTCTATGTCTTTATACAAATATGCAAGTGTTTCTAAGTCATTGAGTATGTGCATCTTCAACAAGAAGAAATTGCCAAATTGCTCTCTAAAGTCATTACACCAATTTATACCTCGCCAAGAAAGTATGAGGGTCCCTGATGATTCTCATCCTCACCAAACTTTGTACAGTCAGATTTTCACACTTTGCCCATGTGATGATTTATGAAATGGTATTTCTTTGCTATTTTGTTTTGTATTCCCTTATTACTAGTGAAACTGAGAAGCTTTTCTTCTCAGTATTCTCTGGACTTTTAAGTTTCCTCTCCTGTGTATAGTCTGTTCATGTGCTAATGTTAATGTACTAATGGGCTGATGTCTTTTTTTAAAACTGATTTGTGAGCATTTAATATATATATGGACACTAGGCCTACACTAGGTTACAATAGTCCTTTTATTTCTAAAATGATATATTTGTTTTGAGTTATAAAAATACATATTTATTATAGAAAATTTGGAAAATATAGAAAAACATTTTATGAAGAAGTTTAAAATTCTCTGTGATCACACAGGATAATAGGTCCAAGGATAATTACTGTTTTCTATTTGGGATTTGTCCTTAGAGTGTTTTCTTACTATGGATCTATTTGTTTGTTTGTTTGTTTTAGAAACTAAGATTTTTTTAATACACACATTTATTTTTTAGCATTTAATTTTTCACTTGTGGATGTCTTCGCTCCTCAGATGGTAAGAGCAATGATTATAAAGGCCATATTTTGTACTACTTTGAGTCTTTTGCTTAGCATCAAGCAAAATGTCTTTCCTTTAGTAGTTCTGATGTTTCCTTCATTGCAGCATGTCCAGATGTGAATGGTGCCATGGTCCAAAGTTTGGTGAAGGTTTTCGCATCATCCGATCCTATAATATTTTTGGAGCAACACAGCTTCCTGTTCTATATCATGTCTGTTCCTCTTCCTGCTATAGAAAAGTAAAGGAAAGTAGTGTTGTTTCAGCTAGTGTTTCTGGTAAAGAACATCTCTAAATCCCAAGTTGATGAATTTATGAGTCCCACTTTAAAAGCCATTAAAGTTTCTGTACATAATCTTTCATTTCTTTGAAAATACAGGTTCTGTGAAGACATGTCTTCTTGTGTGAATCCTCTTTGTAATCCTTATGAAAGTTTGTGATAGCAAATTTTTGCAGAATACTTACCTAAGCAAAACTCTTTGGATTTAAAAGAAGGTCTAGAAAATTTCTTTCTGAAATGTTTACTATAAAAAGAAAAATGCAAAAGAATTTATCTTACAATTGGCCTTTTGCCATCCATTCTAAGGGATAAGACAGTATTTCAAAGTCGTCAGTGGGGTTTGCGCCTCATATGGATTTAAAGTCATGTACCCAAGTTCTCAACCTTTGTGTGTTTCTGTGGAAATCTCTCCAGTGCCAACCATCTCAATTGTGGATTGCTTTGGGGAATGAAAGATGAATTCCAGTACTATATTTAGTTGTTTGAATTCATTACCCAGGCTCTTAGGAAATTGGTACAATCTCTGTTATCTTGCTGGTCATCTCACAAAGCCTGATTCCACAGGCTACTGCCAGCATTCAAAAGGCTTTCAGTGATAGGCTGTCAAGAAAATGAAGTAGAACTTAGAAAATTACGTTACAAAGCAACATATGCACACAGTAGAACTTGAAGCTTTAAGAATTAGTGTTTGGTAAGAAGAAGGTAAAAGAACATATAACAAACAATTTTAGAAAGGCAGACACAGAATTGTTTCATATATGGCATATCTTTACGTGCAGCTAACAAATCTAAAATGTCATTGCTAATGAAACTTGATGAAAGGAAGTAATTTAAATTTATATAACTATTTTATCATTCAAAAACATCAGAAAATACACATGTCAGGTTTTTGTATATCATGTAGTAATATCATTTAAATCAAAAAGAAAATAAACCAGGCAAATTAATTTTCCTGACTAATGATTTCAATAAACTGGAATGCTTGTATTCTTCTTGAAAAATAATTCAATTTTAAGCAGAACTAGGAAAACCTTGCCCAAGAAGTATACGAGGTATTCTCTAGCAAACGAATAAAATTTTTTATATAGAAGTAACTATCATATCACACGTGTAATCCAGAAGGAGATACTTATATCATGATAACAAATAAATTCATTAAAATGTAATATACCTATAGTTACAAAACAAGATAAAAAATAAGACTAAATCCCAGTGGCATATAGCCTATTAATGCTTATACTTGTCCCTGAAATATTTCTTGGGGAAAGAAGTGTATTTATTTTTTAATTAAAAAATGTTGGTTTTTGGCTTGAGTAACTGGGTGGTGTCACGTTGCAATAGGAATAAACAAGAAAAGTTTCATGGGAAATTACAACAGCTTAGAGACATTGCACAGAAACATTTACCTAGGCATTTGGATAAAAATGAAATATACTTAGAGCTCAATCTCATTATTTCTTCATGGTTAGTATAAACCTTGAATGTAAGTGATCTCTTATAGATCTTTAAAAAAAAATAGAGTGTTTTTTAAATATAAAAGTAAGACACATTTATTAAAGAAATATTTGAAAACAGAACTAAACCTAAGAAGAAAACAAAATTCCTCTTGTAATGTCACCACCCAATGAACAAGAGCTAATCATTTTGACGTGTATATGTATATATGTGCACACTTATGTAATGTATTACTCTTATTTTAAAAATGGGTTATGTGTCTGTCTCACACCACACACAACAATTTTCAGATTCCTAAAGGTCAAAACTGAAAATATAAAGAGATATATCATGTCTTAACAAAAAATCAGGATGCAAAGGACCTTTTTAAGCAGGAAATGAAACCCAAGGGAAAAGATAAACAGATTCACTATGTAAATTTTTTTTTTTTAATTCTTGTACAGCCAAAACCACCATAAATGAAGTCAAAAGACAAGCAACACACTGGGGAAAACATCTATAATACACATGACCACCAGAAGAGAGCTACTCTACTAACTAATCTCAATCGTAAATGACAGAAACCCACTAGGACCAGCTGAAGAAACAAAAGGAAATGTAGTCCTTTTGTGCATGTGTCTTCAGGCACAGCCAAATTTGTGTCATTCTGAGCTCAAACTGTGTCATCAAGGCATTGTCTGTCTGTCTGTCTATCTGTCTATCATCCATCTCTTAGTAACACCTTTCTCTAAGTTTGGCTCTTCCTTGAGTAGCAAGGATGATCACTGATGATGACTCCAGGTTTATGTACTGGAAAGTCAGGAACCTCTGAGAGAAGTTCAATATCGATCCCAACTATTACTGTCAAACATATTAGGGATGATTTTGGCTTAAACTGGGTCTCACATGTCCATATGTGAACAAATCATTGTAGCTACATGAATGAATACTCTGACTGGCTGAGTCACATGCCCGTATGTGTAACTAGGAAAGGGGAAATTAGCCCATCCACAAACAAATGAAATAGGCTCTTTACAAGGAAGAGTTCTGAAACTGAAAACTGGGGGAAGGAGAAATGTTTTTGGCAGCTAAAAAAATCTAGAACTATCAGAGACCTCTAAACTTCCTAATATCCAATAAGCTGTTATAAATAATAACATCAAAAAGATGAACTAAATATTTCAATAGCCATAACAATCAAAATTAAACATATGTATTTTTCATCCTGAGACGTTATTGCTCAAAAATACTTGCACGTGTGCAAAAATATATCCAAAGATATGTATTGCAATGATATTTACAACAATGAAAAATCTGAAACATTCTAAGTTTTCAACAGTGGAGAATTGGTTATATATGGTCAGTCCAACAAGGTAATATCATCCAGCCATTTAAAAAATTAGATATCTGTTTTCCCTAACATGGAAAGATATCTACCACATATTTTTAGAGAAATATTTACCAGATATTATAATCACATTACTCAAAATTTTAAAAGTACAAAAGAGTTCTTAAAATGTCTTTAACCCCAGTTCTCTGTCAGTTCATTTCCCTTCTCAGAGGCAATCAAAGATATCAAGTCTTTTATATTTTTTCAGGATATTTTATGCAGATGTAAACTAATAAATGTTTCCTACTATTGATATAATATTAACATAATACATACTTCTTTCTGTGCCTTCCCATTTAATATTATGTCACAGATGCAGTTTCACACCAGTACGTTATTAGCTTATATTATTTTTTATGATTATATATTATTCCATTGAGCAATGTATATAGTTTATTTTACCAGGTCACTACTAATGGACTTTCAATTTTTTGTAACCTCTTTCTATGAAAAAAAAAAGCTGCAATGAATAACCTTGTCATTTGCACATGCTTAGATATAGCTGTGGAATAAATTCTTAGAAGTTATCTTGCTGGTTCAAAGGCGTGTGTGTTTAATTTAATAGGGAGTTTGGGGGAAAATATAACTATATTTATTTTTATTTCTTT